AAGGAAAGGGAAAGGGGAAAGGGAAAAGGAAAGGGAAAGGGAAAAGGAAAAGGAATAATGGAAAGGGAAAAGAAAAGGGAAAGGGAAAGGGAAAAGGGATAAGGGTACGGGAAAAGGAAAGGGAAAGGGAAATGGGATAATGGAAAGGGAAAGGGAAAAGGAATAATGGAAAGGGAAAAGAAAAGGAAAAGGGATAAGGGTAAGGGAAAAGGAAAGGGAAAGGGAAACGGGATAATGGAAAGGGAAAGGGAAATTGGAAAGGGGAAAGGGAAATTGGAAAGGGAAAAGGGATAATGGAAAGGGAAAAGGAAAGGGAAAGAGAGAAAGCAGCCTGGAAACACAAAAACAGCTGCTTGAAAGCATCAGAATGCTAACAAGGCAGTGAAAACTTACAACACTGTGGCGAAGTAGACTTAAACAGGCGAGCCTAGCATTTGGGGCTGCTTTCCCTGCCAGAGACATCTGCTGATGAGGTAGATCAGAGCGGAGTAGAGGTTTTAAAAGACTCACAGGGATGGGAGACAAAAAGGACTTCAGGGCCTGCCAAGGAAAAGGGCCCCTGGTCAGCACTCCAGGCTTTGGACTGGGATCCTCCCTGCCACAGTGTGAGTAAAGACGAACGAGAATCTGGAGTTGCATCCAACTCCAAAATCTCAAAGCCTTTCTGGTCAGTGATCCAGGATCATAAATACCCCTACCCACTTCCCAGAAGCAAAAGTCAATCCTTTCTGAAGAGAAAACACCATCCTCCCTCGAAGTAATTCCTACTGTTTCTCCCATCCAATGTCAACATACAATGCCACCACTGCCACCACCAGGTACACCAGGAGAGAAGTCGACCTCATGAAAAACAAACAGATCACAGGGGACCACATGATCAAGTGATCAGACCCAGGCTTTAAAATAACGGTGTCAAACTGAAAACACATACTGAAATTGAGACTACAATAAATGGATTTTTAAAATTAGATGCAGATGAAAAAAACTGATAAAGTGTTGCCTAGGTCAGAATTCTGGCCGAACATGGTGGCTCACACTTGTAATTCCAGCACTTTGGGAGGCCTAGGTGAGTGGATCACCTGAGGTCAAGAGTTCAAGACCAGCCTGACCAATATAATGAAACCCCATCTCTACTAAAAATACAAAAATTAACCAGGTGTGGTAGTGGGTGCCTGTAATCCCAGCTACTCAGGAGGCTGAGGCAGGAGAATTGCTTGAACCCCAGGTTGCAGTGAGGTAAGATCACATCACTGCCCTCTAGGCTGGGTAACAGAGCAAGAACTTGTCTCAAAAACAAACAGAAGTAAATTCTCGGAGTAAAGACAGACACAAGAATAGAAAATACAGGAAAGTATAGAAGAGACACAGGGAATTAAGCAAAAAGGTCTAATAAATGTTAAGGTGAATCCCAGAGGAATGAAGGCGAATGTAGCCAAAGCAATATTTGAAAATTGTTTTCTAAAACTAATAAAAAATATTTTCAAGTCATTAAGTAATGTTGAACAGCTCACATGTGAACAATGTTGAACAATCATATGTGCTGACATCATCAGCATAACCTATGTTGTAGGAACTCCCCAATTCCTTATCTTCAATAAATTGCAAGAGAAAAAAGAGATGAAGCAGAAGCCTGGAGTCTCTAAGAGGGTTAAGAAACAGACCAGCCAATCACAATATGTGGACTGTATCTGGATACTGATTCAAACAAATGCACTAGGAAAAAAGCTATTGTGATATCCAAAAGACAATGGGGAGCTTGAACAGTGATCAAATATGATGATATTCTTACAGAATTACTGTTTTTGTTTGTTCCATTTTGGTCTGACAATGATTTTGTTATTACGTTAGAACAAGTTATCTTTTAGAAATACTACATATTTACCGATGAAATGACAAAATGGAATTTGCTTAAAATAATACAGAAGTGGTAAGTTACTGGGTTATAAATTAAAGGCAATTGGTCATAAAATAATTGTTGAAAGAGGTGGTAGATTGTGTGCCAAATTCATTACACTTTTCAATTTACTTTTGCCTGTGTTTAAAATTCTACATAGTAAAGTTTTATGTAATTATTAGCGAGCTTGCTTTCCTCGCTCATCAGCCAGGTTCCTTGCTAATAATCCACCTTTTACTGCCAGTTTTCAAGACAGTGTAGAACTAGAGAGAAATCCCAATATGCTTTAACTCTGTAAGAGGAAAAGCTTCAGAAATGTAACACTTCCATCGCACCTAACAGGTTCAACACGTTAAAGGATTTTGGTGATGTGGAGCATGACGCAGACTTAATGTGTCATCTTTTCATTAGTTTGTCCCATTTTATTTGACAGCCTCCATTACAGTAACTTCAAAATAAACCCAGGCAAAAATAATAACCTACAATTTAACTTTTCACTAATAATTAATTACATTTATTTTGTTTTTTGAGACAAAGTCTCTCTCTGTTGCCCAGGCTGGAGTGCAGTGGAGTGATCGACTCCCAGGTTCACACGATTCTCCTGCCTCAGCTTCCCGAGTAGCTGGGATTACATGTGCCTGCCACCACACCCAGCTAATTTTTGTATTTTTAGAAGTGACAGGGTTTCACCATATTGGCCAGGCTGGTCTTAAACTTCTGGCCTCAAATAATTCTGCCCACCTCGCCCTCCCAAAGTACTGGGATTACAGGCTTGAGCCACTGGGCCCAGCCTACTTTTCGTTAGACTTGGCCTGTTCCAAATTAGGTATTTTCCCCATACCATGTACTCATCACAGTATAGTATCTAGAGTTTCAAGTCAGATCCTTTGATCCTTTTTTTTTGAGGTGGAGTCTCAATGTCGCCCAGGCTGGAGTGCAGTGGCACAATCTTGGCTCACTGCAACCTCTGCCTCCCGGGTTCAGGCAATTCTCCTGCCTCAGGCTCCGAAGTAGCTGGGATTACAGGTATCTGCCACCACACCCAGCTAATTTTTGTATTTTTAGTAGAAACAGGGTTTTGCCACATTGGCCAGGCTGGTCTCGAATTCCTGACCTCAAGTGATCCACCCTTCAGCCTCCCAAAGTGCTGGGATTACAAGCGTGAGCCACTGCGCCTGGCCAAGTTAGACCTTTTTAATATTCTCTTTAAAATTTGTCTTAGCACCACATTCTAGAAGCTTAGAAACTTTGCTACATATTTTTGCAATAAATTCATCTTAGAAACATGAATAATGCCTTTAATCTCACTTTGACTCCACTGAGTACTGAAAAGAGTGGATACACACACATACACAGATAACATAAAACACAAGCAACCACACTGAAAATATCAAGTGCATTTTTTAATCATTTGTGGTGATTTTATATATCCTGTATCATAGATACTACAGATTAAAGATTCTACCTACAGTAGACACTTTCTGGGAGTTGCTACATGGGAATTCCAGAGGAATGCTATAATGTTATATTCTTTGAAATCTGTATCCACAAGTTATTCAGTTCATTGTGGAAACCCAAATAAACCTTTCAAGTATTTAAAATAAAGTTTCCAACCTCATACCAAAATGAAAAGTGATTTCTGTTCATGTTTTCATTCCTTTCCAAGTATATACTGTGAAAAATTGATCATTAGTAAGGCTTTACATACAGTCATATGTAAGCCACGAGCTGTTACTTCCCGCTGATAGCTTTCAACTACTGAAGCTTTACGTTCTTATTAAACACTAAGCAGAAAGACTCTTCTATGCATAGAAAGCCAGTTACCTGCTGGCCTTTTGTGAAAAATTTAATAGCCAAATTTTATCTAAGTGAATGATAAAACCTATAGTACTGAAATTTGTTATTTGTTATTTTTTTAAAGAAAGGAATCATGGCGTGGGATGGTGGCTCACATCTGTAATCCCAGCACTTTGGAAGGCTGAGGTAAGCAGATTGCTTGAGTCCTAGAGTTCGAGACCAGCCTGGGCAACTTGGTGAAACCCTCTTTCTACAAAAAAAAAATACAAAATTTAGCTGGGAGTGGTGGTACACACTTGTGGTCCCAGCTACCCAGGAGGCTGAGGTGAGATGATTGCTTGAGCCTGGAAGGTGGAGGTTGCAGTGAAGTTGAGATTGTGCCACTGCAGTCCAGCCCAGTCTGGGCAACAAAGCAAGACCCTGTCTCGAAAAAATAAAAAATAAAAAAAGGGAACCATGATCTAAAACTACCAGGTATCAACAGATTAATCATCTGAAAGCATTGTTATTTTACACGAAAACCATCCATGGGCTGGGCGCGATGGCTCACGCGTGTAATCCCAGCATTTTGGGAAGCTAAGGCAGGCAGATCACCTGAGGTCAGGAGTTAAAGTCAGCCTGGCCTACATGGCAAAACCCCATCTCTATTAGAAATACAAAAATTAGACGGGTGAGGTGGTGTGCGCCTATAAAGCTACATGGGAGGCTGAGGCCTGAGAATTGCTTGAACCTGGGAGATGGAGGTTGCAGTGAGCTGAGATCACAGCATGGCACTCCAGCCTGGGCAACAGAGTGCGATTCTGTCTCAAAAAAATAAAAATTAAAAAAAAACATTCATGTTTACCAGTGAAGATATACTCAACCTCCTTAACTTGCAGTTGGCAGTTCTTCCCCATCTCGCTCAACCTTTACTTCTGAGTATCACATTAAAAACTACATCCTAGCCAATCTGGACCTGTAATTCTCCAAACACACACAGCTACTACCAACTGAATGTTACACTCTAGAAAGTGGAGTTGCTACTTCAACAAGATGCATCTGGTTGGTTGCCCTGTCTGGCTTTGCTGCAGACCTTCAGCGTTTGCTTATTTACATAGGCAAATAAAGCATTTCCCTGCCATGGCACCATCAGGCTCTAAGGAGCAGAATATGGCTGTACTTGGAAGGCCAAGGAAATTCTAGGAGCATGAAATGAGGTGGAACAATCTAATTCTGCTCTCACCTGACTACAGTGTATGTCACCTGACTAGGGCTCTACACCCGACTAGAGCAAAATAAAGAGGCCTGTAGGAAATGACAGCAGGAAAAGTCATTTCAACTTTCTTTCCCTTCTCCTTTATGGTAACCGAAGGCTTGGTGAATGAGATAATTACACACTGTTTTCCTATAATGTCTCAGGCTAATCGCTATTTCCTAGAAAGTCTCTGGTCAATTCTCTAATTTTCTAAAGATGGGTAATAGCTCCAGAAATTATCCTAGTGGGCTATAGCTGAAATCGACTTGATCTGTCTAGTCTCATATCAAAATTACTTTCACATATTTAATAAAACTCATTGTAGCTGAAAGTTACTGAATGAAAGCCTAGTAATAGTTAGAAAAGAAAACTTGAAAAAAGTTTTCCTTATCATTGCAATTATTTTTAATTAGGAAATGGCAGTGACAAATAATTGCTAGTTATCATTATCATGTAATAAAAATATTTTTTAAAATCTGGGGTACACAGGAGGCGGAGGTTGCAGTGAGCCGAGATCGTGCCATTGCACTCCAGCCTGGGTAACAAGAGTGAAACTCCGTCTCAAAAAAACAAACAAACAACAACAAAAAAATATGGGTACAATACACTAAAGTTATGAGAAAATATATTTGTCTATAGTCTATATTCAGTTAAATAAACTTTAAAACTGTGTATTAAAAGGTCTTTGTGGCCAGGTGTGGTGGCTCACATCTGTAATCTCATCACTTTGGGAGGCCGAGGCGGGTGGATCATGAGGTCAAGAGATTGAGACCATCCTGGTCAACATGGTGAAAGCCCGTATCTACTAAAAATACAAAAAATTAGCTGGGCATGGTGGCACATGCCTGTGATCCCAGCTGCTCGGGAGGCTGAGGCGGGAGAATTGCCTGAACCCAGGAGGGGGAGGTTGCGGTGAGCCGAGACTGCGCCATTGCACTCCAGCCTCGGTAGCAAGAGCGAAACTCCGTCTCAAAAAAAAAAAATTAGCTGGGTGTGGTGGCATGAGCCTGTGATCCCAGCTACTTGGGAGGCTGAGGCAGGAGAATCACCTGAACCAGGGAGGTGGAGGTTGCAATGAGCCAAGATCACTCCACTGTATTCCAGACTGGGTGACACTAAGACCCATCATCTCAGAAAAAAAAAAAAAAAGGTCTTTGTAGGTCAGGTGCAGTGGCTCACTCCTGTAATCCCAGCACTTTGGGAGGCCAAGGTGGGTGGATCATTTGAGGTCAGTAGTTCGAGACCAGGCTGGCCAACATGGTGAAATTCCGTCTCTACTAACACTAACACACAAAAATTAGCCAGGCATGGTGGTGGGCACCTGTAATTGCAGTTACTTGGGAGGCTGAGGCAAGAGAATTGCTTGAACCTGGGAAGCAGAGGTTGCAGTGAGCCAAGATTGCACCACTGCATTCTAGCCTGGGTGACAAGAGTGGGACTCCCTCTCCAAAAAAAATAAATAAAGGTCTTTGTGGATTTAAAATCAATCACATAATTAAATCTGATTCTGAAAAGTAAAACAGCTTAATGTCATGGTTGTCCTACAAATTACCAAAAAGAAAATGCTAACACATACACATACTTTATGTGCTTAAATAACCATTTTATACCTAGCACCAACCTAAAAAAGAAAATATCTGATTAAATATCTGTGAACAGAAGAAAAAACATTCATTTAGAAACCCTTAAGTGGTTAATGCTTTTTAAATCAATATGGATTTTTAGCCCAAAAAAATAAAGAACAAATTAAAATGACTTTTAAGGGCATTGCCTGTAGAGAACACTGATGTTTGCTGCTATCAAATGTGAAATCCAATAGCACAGCCCCAAGGACACAGAATTCATTTGCTTTGTAATGATGCTATTACTGTTTCTTAAAACATCCCAAGCAAAACCCATTACAATTCCTGACATAAAATTTAAATAGGAAATTTTTTTAAGTACTACAAACTCTAAATCTGAATTTGAGTAGCAAAAAAGATAATTAGATGCCACAAACACCGAAAGGTAAGTTAAAGAGAAGTAACATTTACTACACACCTCCATCCCTCGCTTAATCCTCACAATGATCTGACAATGGTCCACATTTTACAGATGAAACAGCGGCCCCAGGAGACTGAGTAACTTGCCATGGAGCCAGTCTGGCTCAAGTCTCTTTTTAAACACTACACTACTTTTCTTTTTTTTTTTTTTTGAGACAGCGTCTTGCTCTGTTGCCCAGGATGGAGTACAGTAGCCCAATCTCCGCTCACTGCAGCCTCTGCCTCCCAGGTTCAAGCAATCCTTGTGCCTTGGCCTCCCGAGTAGCTGGGACTACAAGCGTGCACTGCCACACCCAGGCCTTACTTGCTTCTTAAATAGAAAGTTACTCCACAGAGGCCGGGTGCAGTGGCTCACACCTGTAATCCCAGCACTCTGGAAGGCCAAGGCAGGTGGATTACCTGAGGTCAGGAGTTTGAGACCAGCCTGGACAACAGGGTGAAATCCCGACTCTACTAAAACTACAAAAATTAGGCAGGTGTGGTAGCATGTACCTGTAATCCCAGCTACTTGGGAGGCTGAGTCAGGAGAATGGCTTGAATCCAGGAGGCAGAGGTTGCAGTGAGCTGAGATTGTGACATTCATTGCACTCCAGCCTGGGGTGACAAGGGCAAAACTCGGTCTCAAAAAAGAAAAGAAAAAAGTTACTCCACAGAGAATGTAATGGAAATTACATTTCAATACACAGATGACCCTGAACAACATGGGTTTGAACTGCACCAAGTCCATTTACTCACAGATTTTTTCCAACCAAACTTGGATTGAAAATACAGTATTGACAGGATGCAAAATCTGGCTCAAGTCTCTTTTTAAACACTATACTACTTGCTTCTTTTTATGTGCGAGGTGGAATTCTCCCATGCACGGGCTCCACAGGACTGACTGAAGGAGTTGAGTGTGTGCAGGTTTGGGTGTACATGAGATCATCCTGGAATCAATTCTCTGCAGATACTGAGAAACAAGTATGTCTATTTTCTACCCGAAGAGGGGAGTTCTCAAAAGAGATGTGAAGGAATACTGAAAATACCACATTGCAGTTAGAAACAGGGTTTTATTTCTGAAAACAGAAAAATCAAACAATATTTTAAAAATCCAATCTACTGATGTCATCATATTTGGCTTGGAATATAAGAATGCAGTAACTGAAGTGTCTGTTCTAAAAACATAAACATTTTTTGATATCAGTACCAACCCACTTTAATGTATATGTAAATAAGAGAACTTTGCTTGAAAAATACAAATATACATATTCAAGAGCACTACCAAATTTTGAAGCTAATGTACTCATTGCCAGCATATTATATATAATTAAAAGTCATTTTAAATATTTTCTAAACAGGGACTGATGTGGATATCAACAATGGTTTCATCCTAAAACTGTGTTTTAGTATTTGTTTAGTATAGTTTCTCTATTTAGTTAAAGCACATTACAATAATCTTTTACCATTCCTTGTGGCTAGTTTATTTTCATTTTTTTAGAGATGGAATCTTGCTGTGTTGTCCACGATGGATTCAAAATCCTGGGCTCAAGAGATCCTCCTGCCTCAGCCTCCTGAGCAGTTGGGACTACAGGAATGCACTGTCACACTCCAAGCTGACATTGTAATAAAGTGCCACTGAGTATCAGACTGAAAACATCCCAGAACTTTAGACCAGGTAAAGGGAGCCAATGAGAAGATCATTGACATCAGATGAAAGCTGAGATCTGTGAAAGTTTCAAACCAGTTTTTCCAAGCAGTCCACAGATGATTTGATAGGGTAAGACTAGTTCCTTACACAACATAGCAGCCGTTATGTTTGAGTACTAATTTGTCTTTTCCCATTGGTATCTGTGAAATTTTCTGTTCTGTTACTTTTTATGGATTCTAACAGGACTTTGATCCTTTCATTTGCAGGCTTTCTGCTTTTCTTCTTGCCCAGGGATTTTCTGCTTGCTCCAGATGGTAGCAGCAGGGCTACCAGGCCCCAAGGCTGATTGCCTGATATGGAAGGTCCATCTAGATGTTCCTGTTGTAAAATCCAGGTACTTTCTTGGGCCAAATCTACAAATTTTTGCAGCTGGCTTTGATTTACATTTTTGCTTATATTGAGAGAAGTTTCAAATGGATTCTGAATGTACAGAGGAGAAGAATCAGGTTTGTTTTGCTCCCTTCCCTATAGATGATGACACAGAAGAAAAAGTGAGTAAGTATATGAAGGGCTTATGATGATGTCACTGCTCAGGTACGAGGTATCTGGGCTAAGTCAACCAACAAAAGTATTTTTTAAAATAATGTAACTTTTACCTAACAAGGTGGAGCATGAAAGGGGAAAAAATGATTAAAAACGGCAGAAGGAAGATGAAGATGTGTTTATTTCTGAGACTTGCTAAAGACATACCTATTATGGTGGAAACAGAAACCCACCAAATGAGAAACCTTACATTAAATATATTAATGTTTCCCAAGTATGAGATGAGGAAAAAAGAGAAGAAACAAAAGATTATTCATTATTTATTTAAAACACTAGGAAGTTTCCATTATATTCCTGTAGATCCAGCAATATGGCAGGGCCCTGCCACATAAGACAGTATCTCATAAAAAGACGCCTGTAGTCCAAGCATTTTGGGAGGCTGAGGCAGGTGGATCACTTGAGGTCAGGAGTTCAAGACCACCCTGACCAACAAACTCTGTCTTTACTAAAAATACAAAAATAGCCAGGCGTGGTGGCGCATGCCTGTAGTTCCACCTACTTGGGAGGCTAAGGCAGGAGAATCACTTGCACCCGGGAGGCAGAGGTTTCAGTCAGCCAACATCATGCCATTGCACTCCCGCCTGGGCAATAGTGAGAATGTCTCAAAAAAAAAAAGATATGCTAAAGCTATGAATCATGTGACCAACATAAGCCATTAGTCTATATTATCTTTTCCTCTTTCAAATGATACTATAAATATTAATTCATATTACAAAGCCAACGGTCAGAATTCCCCAGTGTGAGCAGCAACTGTTTATTCCCTAACTTATTTCACGGTTGGCACCTCTGAACCCCGGAGTACAAAAAGGGTGAAGAATTTTGTACGCTTGATGACCTTTTCCTTCTAGATTGCATTTGCAGTGCTTTCTGCATGCTTTCTCTCTCCTCTCTCCAATCTTTTATTTTGACAAAGAGTCAATGAGAAGGATAAGAGGGAAGAATGAGAAAAGGAGAAGTGAAGAAATAAGGAGAAAGAATGTCTGGGTTTGTGTTTTATGAAGTCAATCTGGTAAGTTTTGTAACCAAGTAGCCAAATGCTAAACAGAATAAACACAGAGGACTATCCCAAGTTATATCCCACTTGTAAACAAATGTTGTCTAGGCTTCTGCCTGACTGATTTTCTTTTTTAAAATAAAAAATATCTTTCATCCCAGCTGCTCAGAGAAATCCAAATCATAAGTTCATTTACTCTAAAAAAAAAAAAAAAAAAACACCTAAATCCTAAGGGCTCAAATGGAGGGAATCACTGAAATCTATCTTTGGGACTTAAATTTATTCCATTGAAACAAATCCAGTTTAAAAACAACTGTATGTAAATTATATCTTTCAGAAAACTTTCTGGAATGTATTCCACATTGTGAGGCAAACAGCATTAGCACTAAGTGAGGACAGAAGTCCCACGGCATAACGACAAAGGTAGATGCTGAAGAGCCGGCTTTTGCTCTTAATGTAACACGATGACTGATCTTAGTCAAGTCATGCAACTTCTCTGGACATCAACCTCCTGGTTACTACCCATTACCATAGAAAAGAAAGAAAATCACATTTATTAGAGTGTTTTGAAAACAGTTAATTAAATATTAGTACAGAGGAACACCAGATTCTAATAACTAAATAATAAAACATTACTTACCTGTCGAATATTTATGGAATTTTTATTGAAAGCAAAATTGCCGAAATATTCAAAAAATTCCTTCAGTAGCAATTCTGTAAGAAAATAAAATAAGGACAATCAGAGGAAAGCCTATTTCAATCCAAAAAGGATAAAGTGAAAAGAAAAACACTTACCTAACGTTTCTGTGTTCTCTGAAGGTTTAATTCTATTCAAGTCACGAACAAATGTGCAGTTGTTGCTTTCTATTATACATTTATCTTCTGCATCTTAAACACAAATGAAAAATATTTCTTTTTTCCCCCCCGAGACAGAGTCTCGCTCTGTTGTCCAGGCTGGAGTACAGTGGCATGATCTCTGCTCACTGTAGCCTCCACCTCCCAGGTTGCAGCAATTCTCCTCCCTCAGCCTCTCGGGTAGCTGGCATTACCAGTACATGTCACCACGTCTGGCTCATTTCTGTGTTTTTAATTGAAACAGGGTTTCACCATGTTGGCCAGGCTGGTCTCAAACTCCTGACCTTAGGTGATCTGGTCAACTCATCCTCCCAAAGTGCTGGGACTACTGGCGAGAGCCACCACGTCTGGCCTATTTCACATATTTCAAAGATATTCCCTTTCTCATAATAAAAATCTATGATTGAAATAAATTTAAGGCTGGGCACAGTGGCTCACACCTGTAATCCCAACACTTTGGGAGGCTGAGGCAGGTGGATCACTTGAGGTCAGAAGTTGGAGACCAGCCTGGCCCACATGGTGAAATCCATCTCTATTAAAAATACAAACATTAGCTGGGCATGGTGGCATATGCCTGTAATTCTAGCTACTGGGGAGGCTGAGGCATGAGCATCGCTTGAACCCAGGAGATGGAGGTTGCAATGAGCTGAGATCAGGCCACTGTACTACAGACTGGGCAACAGAGTGAGGAGTCTTAAAAAACAAAACAAAACAAACAAACAAATTTAAATAAATTTCTACTCTATTATTTATTTAAATCATAGATTTTATAAATGATTGAATAATTATGATTTAATAATGATTTAATCTATGCTTTCTTGTCTGACGATGTTAATTTCACTATGGTATAACTAATCTCAAATCTTTTTATCTTCTTTTAATGGAGTTATATTTAAAAAAAAGACTTGAGACTAGTTATGCCACAGTGAAATTAACATTTAATTTAGCATACTAGAATTATTGTCTAACAACCACCCAATGATTCCTAATCAATTTCTGAGGTAATCAGTTTTCTAGTAACAGATGAAACTGTAGAGTTCCCCCATCATCCACCAAACTAAATTTTGGCACTATCTCTAAGTCAATACTCAGTTTACATCCCCAAATTCCGTTCTTAATATTTTCATTCATGACACAAACTGAATGCTAACTGAAAAAGCTTCAGGTAATTTCTAAAATGTAGCACTGTAAAGTAACTGGAATTCGGTAATTCAGTAACACTCAGTAACAGCACATTAGATTCAGGCATTCACCTTTCCTACTAGTATTTATATCTTTAGATGTATTCATTTTCCTAATAATTGATAAATACACAACCACCATGAAATCCATGGCCCATGCTATCTACAATAGATCATAAGCTGTTTTCAAGAGCAAATTCCTACTCTTCAGAAATCTCATCAATGGCTACTTCCTACCTAGAAGCATTTCATAATTCCAAACTGGCTCTCCATCCTTTTTGCTCCACTCACCATGTGCACTTATCCAACTGCACTCTGACTGTCTGCATGCTGTCCACTCTGTGCCCCAGTCTGGAACTACAAAGGTCACTCTCCTATTCATTAATGCCCACCTCCCCACCATCTGCTCCCAACAAGCATCTAGCATATAGCAGCCATATAATCAATAATCTGAATGACTGCTAATATTTTTTAATTTTTATTTTTTTTAATTTTTTTGAGCTGGCGTCTGGCTCTATCACCCAGGCTGGAGTGCAGTGGCACGATCTCGACTCACTGCAACCGCCTCCCAGGTTCAATTCTCCTGCCTCAGTCTCCTGAGTGGCTGGGATTACAGGCAAGCAACACTACGCCCGGCTAATTTTTGTTATTTTTAGTAGAGACGGGGTTTCACTATGTTGGCCAGGCTTGTCTTGAACTCCTGACCTCAAGTGATCTGCCCACCTCAGCCTCCCAAAATGCTGGGATTACAGGCGTGAGCCATCACACCCAGTCCTGATATTTGATTTTAAATGCCTATAATCACCAGAAAGATAAATAAGACTCCTGTACATTTCTGTCTCCCATTTTTGTGGTTTTTGTTATTTTTTTTTGTCAAGACCTGGTTACTTACATAATTTCTCAAAAATTATTCTACATTCTAACATTTTAAACAGCACATTTTATGTGTTCTACTATATAATTTATAGTATGCTGAAAGAGCTATATAAAATGTGTGTGTGTGTGTGTGTGTGTGTGTGTGTGTGTGTGTGTGTATATTTCTACTTAGATCCATTTTTTAGGGACCTGGGCACATGTTTTACTATGTCAACTGATTAATAGTTTCTGCTTTTTGTGACACAGTGCCAGTCACATATATTGATGCTCTTTTAGCTGCTGTGTCTTTTTTCAGGAATGAATCTTCCATTAAAGCACTAAGCACAGAAGTAAATGTAACAAAAGCTGCAAAGCCAGAAAGCATGGAAAACACAAGAAAATAAAAGACATATGAGAGAAAGTAGTGGAGATTACAGAAAACACAAAGAAACAGAACAATTCGAGAGGAACCAAATATGAAAGCTAACATCATGGTCCATCTTGCTCAGTACAAAAACAGCCCTCAACTTTAAAACGTTCATCCAATCGTTTTGAAATCTATATAGTGAACTCCTGCTATGAACCCAATACTATGCCAGGAATAGAAGATGCAGGGATGAAGCAAAGACAGCCAGCCCTAGAAAAGCTTGACCACATTGAGGCAGGTGGATAAAAGAACTGCAACAATCTAACAGTTATTACAATACAGATGTGTACCAAGGGCTTGGAAACCAACAAAGCACTACCCACTGGGAAGCAGAGAGCACGGCAAGAAAAGACCTAACAAATGAGATCCTGTACTGGGTTTGTCTGTCTTCTCTGGCTTAATCTTGAGGAGGTTCTCCATTGAAAAGGGGGTGGGCAGGTAGAAGGCCATTTCAGGCAAAAGCATGGAGCAATGAAAAAAAGCATCAAACATCTGAGGCTCATCAAGGAGATCAGGAGTGGCTCAAGCTTCCAGCTGGTACACAGGAATCAATGTAAGAGAACAGGATGAAAAGGAGGCTGATAAAGGGCCCTGCACACAATGTGAAAAAGTTTGGTCTTTATCTTAGCTTAGGTTCTAAACAGTAGTTTGTACAAAGTCCTAGAAGTTCTGGAAGATATTCTAGAAATTCATGCTGCCTTCTATTAATAAACAAGCAAGGAAGCAAAGTATTTTTTTCTTTTAAAAAGAACAAGTTAATACTTTATTTGTACATCAAATGAGAGGTGCTGCTTAGAAGAAATGAAATGATTGTACAGATGAATCAAGTCACTTACATGATTAAATGCAGAGTACTCAAGATGGGTTTTTTATTGTTTCACAGTTTAAAATTGTTTTCTTCCTTAGGTTTAATGTCCACCAATGTTGAACTACTAGTAAAAATTAGAAAGTATAAAAACCATGGATTTTGAAAAAAAGGAAAAGGGGGAGGAAAATGTTGATAAATTCTCCTCAAAATGATCTTCACCCCATTTTTAACATACATTAATCTTAGACAAGTTATTTTATAGCAATTTCAAAAACCACAGGTGACGGAAAGCAAAAAGCATATCAAATTTTGCTGGGCCTTTATTGGCAATTCACACCTACAATGTGCTATATGCCAAGCAACAATTGCAAAAAATAGTCTGAAAAATGATCTTACTGTATTTAAAAACTAGCACAAGAATTTAAAAACAGTGAATTTGATGTTTCAAGTGAAATATTAAAGAATTCCAAGCTAGTTTTGCTTGTTTTGATGCCATAAGATGTGAACACATTTAAATTTATTTTAAAGTAGATTTGGACTAAAAACTCAACAGGTCATTTAAAATTTGTGCACATATCATATTCTTTTCCTAAAATAATTAGTGGAAGCTAGGCACAGTGGCTCATGCCTATAATCCCAGCACTTTGGGAGGCTGAAAAGGAACATTGAGCCTAGGAATTTGAGACCAGCCTGGGCAATACAGTGAGACCCCATCTCCACAGTTTTTTTTTTTCATTAGCTGAGTGAGTGGTGGCACAAGCCTGTATATCCCAGCTACTCAGCAGGCTGAGGTGGGATAATCACTTAAGCCTGGGAGGCAGAGGTTGCAATGAGCCAAGACTGCACCACTGCACTCCAGCCTGCCTATAAGGCAGAGCACAGTGGCTCACGCCTGTAATCCCAACACTTTGGAAGACCAAGGTGGGAGGATCCCTTGAGCCCAGTTCAAGACCAGTATAGGAAACACAATACGACCCCATTTCAAAAAAAAATAAAAAAATTAGGCAGGTGTGGTAGTGCATGCCTGTAGTCCTAGCTACTCAGGAGGCTGAACTGGGAAAATTACTTGAGCCCAGGAGGTCAAGGCTATAGTGAGCTGAGATTGTGCCAATGTACTCTAGCCTGAGCAACAGAGCAAGACCCTTTCTCAAAATAAATAAATAATAAACAAAATTTTTTTAAAATTAGACATTTTAAAAAAGATACTAGAAAGTTACTGAAGGACTGAAAAAAAAGAATAACACTATCGTAAGTAATTTTGCAAATCACTCTGTTAACTAAGAATGGATTGGTGGGAACCAAAATGGAGATAAGGGAGAAAGACAGTATAAACTTCCCAGGCAGAGGACAACAGGGGCCTGACCTGGGAAGGGGTGGCAGGACTTGTAAGACTAAGGAGGCAATCAAGATGCTTAGGAGTAGCCTACCCCAATTTTGACTTTCTTCCACTCCTCTTTTTCACACCTACTGTTTCTTAGTTTCTAAACTCCAAAAGTTCCGTGATTTTTCCCCACGATGGTTTCTATAAGAGTAGCAGTAAGCATCAGTGCACACAGCAGGTAGTTTAGCAGTGAAGATCTGCCCATATCTTATGTATGCCTTGCTTCTCCACTAGATTGTGAGTTATCTGAGAACACTGTTCATATCCCCACTCCTCCAATAACACCTGACGCATAGGAAGTAATCAGTAAATACTGAAAGAATGACACTAAGGGCTGAAATGAGCTCAGATATGCATGTTGCCATTTTAATTTCAAAAGTGAGATACATGACCACCACTCTACCCCACTGAAAACTTCCCATTTTCCCTTAACCTAGCAAATCTCGATTTTTATTTCTTTTTTTAGGCTAGTCAAGTGAAGCAGTGGGAGTGGAGAAGGAACAAAGACATTTGTAACTGGTTGTGATTAGTTGTAAACACAAATTGAGCGTTTTTTTTTTTTTCTTGGAGACGGAGTTTTGCTCTTGTTAACCCAGGCTGGAGTGCAATGGCGCGATCTCGGCTCACTGCAACCTCCGCCTCCTGGGTTCAGGCAATTCTCCTGCCTCAGCCTCCTGAGTACCTGGGATTACAGGCACGCACCACCGTGCCCAGCTAATTTTTTTTTGTATTTTTAGTAGAGACGGGGTTTCACCATGTTGACCAGGATGGTCTCGATCTCTTGACCTCGTGATCCACCCGCCTTGGCCTCCCAAAGTGCTGGGATTACAGGCATGAGCCACTGCGCCTGGCCCAAATTGACCTTTTTTTAAGGTCAATTTCAAACTACATCAAACACTTACAGTGTTGACAGGAAGAGATCACTTCTAAAGTGGATAATAAGTGATTATTTTATCACTTAGCATGGAAGAAATAATTTAATCTGAGAGAAAAAAAGCAGACTCCAGGCAGAAAAACAGTGTGAACAAAGAGCTAGGATGAAACGTTCCAGGAACAATCACAGCACTGGCTGGAATGTGGAACACACAGAGAAGCAGAGAAGAGGCTGGAAAACTGGGCTGTGTCTAGAGAGCTAAAGATTTTAAACACCAAGCTATGGAAATAGTTTGAGGTCTATTCTATACAGAATGATCCCTTTTAAGGTTATTTTAAACAGGAAGATTCAAGAAAGCATTTAATCGAATTATCAGGCAGCCATTACATAAGATGGGTAGAAGACAGAGTATGCATTTTCAATGTATGTACCCCTTTATTATCTTCCTTTTAGCATTTACAATTGCAAGATTTTACAATATAACTTCTCCAGCAGGTCTCAGCAAGGCTGAGACATAAGAATCACTTGAACCTGGGAGGCATTTATAAAATCATTCATAATACAAACTAAATAGTGTGTCAAATTTTAATGCACCTAAGATTGCTTATAAACTTAATTAAAAACACATTTAGAATATTTGAAACATCATGAAACAGTTTTATTAGTATCTCTAACCCAAGTCTAAACACAGGTTCAGATTTGAAAGTCATCTCTGAGACTGTGATCCAATCAAAAGTTGTATCTGAAGAAGTTGCATCTGAAAAAGGTCATTCTAGACTTGGTCAACTGGGGGAGAAGCTCTAGCTATCTCATGACTGTGGGAAACGACCCTGCCAACTGATTCAAAGAAAACAGAACTCTCAAAAATCCTAAAAGCCCTAGCTTCCCAGATCAACTGCTCTCATGACCCCGGTAGGCTTTAAATAACAATAATAATAATAATAATAATAATAATAATGATAAAAAGTTTAGATTCACAAGGCTTAGAAGTTAAGACAAATTTTGTGACTAAGAGAAAAAAATAGATGGGACTTTGGTAACACATGGTAATTATATTTGCTCATAACATCAGAAAAAGAAAATGGAGAAGTTTTTCTTTCTAGTCTTACCTGCTAGAGTTTGTAAGGAATCCAGTGTTGGAAGAATAGGGGGTGATCTTCTCTGGAGAAAAAAGATGACCATCATTGTAAGGGAGAAATTTGTAATCCATGCACCAGGAATACTGCTTGTTAGTGAATGTGCTCGAGCCCAGCATCGTACAGTGAACACTAAGGCTCTCACTCTTGAGTCTAGGGCACCATATATATAAAGGAGTTCAGAACTTGTCAAGGCAATCCTTCAGAAAATAAAAACAGAAATATTTTCAAATCCCCAAATTATAAACCAAGGGTAAAATTAAACATATGCCAGGAAACATATCTAAACATCCTACTATATCTGAATATATTCAGAACATCATATTAGGTAATCAAAAGCATTATGAATCTGCAATATAAAATTTAGTATTAATGGCTGAATATCAAATATATTTATTCCCATTAAAACATCCCCTTAATCCTCTTAAAATTGACAATTAAAATATAGGCTGGGCACAGTGGCTCAAACCTGTAATCCCAGTACTTTGGAAGGCTGAGGCAGGTGGATACTTGCGACCAGGAGTTCAAGACCAGCTTGGCCAACACGGTGAAACCCCCTCTCTACTAAAAATACAATAAATTAGCCAGGCACGGTAATGTGTGCCTGTAATTCCAGCTACTCAAGAGGCTGAGGCACAAGAATTGCTTGAACCCAGGAGGCATGGGTTGCAGTGAGCTGAGACCAAGTCACTGCACTCCAGCCTGGTGACAGAACGGAAAAAAAAAAAAAAAAGAAAATGTAGATCTAGGGCCGGACGTGGTACTCACACCTGTAATCCCAGCACTTTGGGAGGCCAAGGCGGGTGGATCACCTGAGGTCGGGAGACAAGACCAGCCTGGCCAACATGGTGAAACCGCATCTCTACTAAAAATTAAAAAATTAGCTAGGCGTGTTGATGCATGCCTGTAATCCTAGCTACTTGGGGGGCTGAGGCAGAGAATCACTTGAACCCAGGAAGCAGAGGCTGCAGCCAGCTGAGATCACGTTTTTGTACTCCAGCCTGGGCAACAGAGCAAGACCCTACCTCCAAAAGAAAAGAAAGAAAATGTTCTAGAACTTAGAATTTTTAAATCAAAGTTTCTAAACATGATTTAAATAATAAGTAAAACACACAAAGCTCTTCATAATTATTAACGGATGGCCTGGCACAGTAGCTCATGCCCGTGATCTCACGCACTTTAGGAAGCTGAAACGGGCCGATGGCTTGAACTGAGGAATTCAAGACCAGCCTGGGAAACATGACAAGACCTTGTCTCTACCAAAAATACAGAATTTAGCTGAGTGTCGTGTCACACACTTTAGGCCCAGCTACTTGAGAGGCTGAGGTGGGAGAATCACCTGAGCCCAGAGAGGTCAAGGCTGCAGTATGCCAAAACTGAGCCACTGCACTCCAGTCTTAGCAACAGAGTAAGATAGCATCTTAAACTATATATGCATATACATATATCGTGTGTGTGTGTGTGTGTGTGTGTGTGTGTGTGTGTGTGTAAAATTGATAAAGACAGAGAGGTGTTTGCTGGCCGGGCATGGTGGCTCACTCCTGTAGTCCCAGCACTTTAGGAGGCCAAGGCAGGAGGATAGCTTGAGCCTAGGAGTTCGAGACCACCCTGGGTAACACAGTAAGACACTGTCTCTATAAAAATAAAAAACATATATATAAAATAAAAACAAAATTTTAAAATTTTAATTTAAAAAAGATAGGTGTGGTGGCATGCATCTGTAATCCTAGCTACTCGGGAGGCTGAGAAAGGAGGACTGAGCCCAAGAGCTCGAGGCTGCAGTGAGCTATGATCACACCACTGCACTTCAGCCTGGGAAACAGAGTGAGAAGCTGTCTCTAAAAAAGTAAAAACAGAATTAAATTAAATTAAAAATATTAAGTTCCTACTGATCAAAACGTGTCTTACAATTTCTCAAAGAATCAACAGAGGGCACAAAAAATAATTTAACAGCATCAAGTTAAAACTGTCTCTAAAACGGCATTTACATTTAAAAAGTACAAAGAACAGAAGAAACAAGGCCAGACGTGGTGGCTCACACCAGTAATCCCAGCACTTTGGCAGGCCGAGGTGGGCGGATCATCTGAGCTCAGGAGTTCAAGACCAGTCTGGCCAACATGGTGAAACCCCGTCTCTACAAAAATACAAAACTTAGCCAGGCATGATTGAGTGTGCCTGTAATCCCAGCTACTCGGGAGGCTGAGGTGGGAACTGCTTGAACCCGATAGGGGGAGGTTGCACTACAGTGAGCTGAGATCCTGCCACTGCACTTCAGCCTATGTGACTGAGCAAGACTATGTCTCAAAAAAGAAAAGAAGAAACAGCAACTTAGAAATTCATGGTGATTGTTTTATGAAAATATTTATTTTAAGCTAAATTAAGCTTAAAATAAATATCAAAAAGCTTAAGGTATCTGATATAAAGAAGATAACACAATTACAAAGATATATGTCATTTTGTCCTATTTTACATACTATAAAGAACACAGGATGATAAAAAGTACAGTATATATCTTTATTTTTTATATTCAAATTTGACAAGAAATCACAGACTTTGCTCCGTAAGTTTGACTTGAGAGAAATCCACCAGTACTTAGGATTGGCTTGTTGGTGAACACGAGAGTTTAATCAAAACTGCTCTAGCCTTGATTTTCTGAATCTATTTTCAGTAATGATTATTTATCTAACAAATAACTATAGTGAAATTTAACTCATGCAATGAGAATTTAAGAGATAAACTTCTCAATTAAGAAATTTTTCCCTACTGTGGGCCAGACTCAGTGGCTCACGCCAGTAATCCCAGAATTCTGGGAGGCAAAGATGGGTGGATCACATGAGGTCAGGAGGTCAAGATCAGCCTGGCCAACAGGGTGAAATCACATCTCTACTAAAAACACAAAAATTCACCCAGCATGATGGCACACACCTATAATCCCAGCTACTTGGGAGGCTAAGGCACAAGAATAGATTGAACCTGGGAAGTAGAGGTTGCAGTGAGCCAAGATCATGAGCCACACTGCACTCCAGCCTGGCCAACAGAGCAAGACTCTGTCTCAAATAATAATAAAATAAATTTCCCCTGTTATGAATCCAGGAAAAATCATCAGTAAAAAAGTATTTATTCCCACTCCACTTGTTTCTAGCAAACAAATCGCTAGGAGAACACAATGCACATAGCATGAACAAAAACCATCCAGTCTTAAGCTCTTCCGACCACTTTTGGACCTAAGTAAAGAGGACATTTGTTTAGTACACAAAGTTGACTATACATCTAAAGGCAATTCAAAGGTCAAATTCAAGTGGCTATTTTATTTTCTAAGTATTCTTGGAAGACTTATACTATAAATAGGAATCTTTCTTTTTTTAATTGTACTTTTTTCTTTTTTTGCCATCAGAAATTCATGCTAAAAGGTAGGCACCTTTCACATTACACACTACCAGGCTGCACAAGAATAATAAAATACATTTCTTCTTAGAGGTTAGATATGTGAACATTTTAACACAATATCCTAACACTATTTAGGAACACCAAATTATCAACAAGTATAATATAAAATATTTCTTACTTTTCAATCCAAGTGTTCGAAATTTTTAAAAATTATTGTTCAAGCATGTTTAAGATTCCAAAGCCACTGTTTCTGTATGAGAAAAACTAAGCTAATACGTTAGAATATTCATATTTAAAATAATAAACGTTAAGAGATGGTACCTATTGTTCGTAGTCAAATCACACTGCAATCCAGAGGCCTGGTGTGAGAACCTCACGAGCGGACACCGAGCATTTAATATTTTTTGCACACCCACACAACCAGGGCTGAAGTTGTCAAGGCACTCTCCTATCACAGACAGGATCTTCTGAGTTGCAATTCTTTCGGAAGGAACATTTTTCACTTGAAATTCCATCAGAAAATTTCCTGAGGTCTGAAAAATAAAAACATTTCTAAATAGGAGCTTTTGGTAAAAAAACGATTTCTTAATAAACTTTTGTAAAAGGATGTTTTAAATCATTGCTGGCAAAACTTCGTGAAATCACAGCCAAAAGCAAACTTAAAAGGTCCTCAGTTGCCTTTTGCTTCTCCAGAATATAGAGGAACACAAAACACTAACTTGAACAACCACTGGTTTTTGTAATTAACCTAGGAACTACACTATAATATAAATCATAAAGTAATATTATGCACAGGACCACTCACTCTATACATTCATTGAACATACACTTGTCCTTTACACTGGCCATTATAATCTATGCTATAAACCCACAGCAGTGGGGAAGTACAGGCACAAGAATAGTTCATCAGTAGAAGAAAACAGGCAGTATAAATAGGCTTGCATACAGCAATTTAATATTTAATATTTAAGGCTGCAAATTACTAGGGGAAAATTCCTATTCAACAAATGAGTTAAGTGGCCATCAAAAAAAATAAACTAGATCCTTTGTTAAATACTAAAACTCACCAGGTATGCTGGCTCACACCTATACTCCTAGAGCGCTTTGGGAGGCCAACGCAGGTAGATCACTTGAGTCAGGAGTTTGAAGCCAGCCTGACCAACATGGTGAAACACCATCTCTACTAAAAACACAAAAAAATTAGCCAGGCGTGGTGGCCAGTGCCTGTAATCCCAGCTACTTGGGAGGTGGAGGCAGGAGAATCACTTGAACCCAGGAGGCAGAGATTGAGGTAAGCCAAGATCATGCTACTGTACTCCAACCTGGGCAACAGAGTGAGACTCCATTTCAAAAAAATAAAAAATTACTAAAACTCAGTTAAATTTGCTGAGCGTTGTGGCTCAAACCTGCAATCCCAGCACTTTGGGAGGCGGAAACAGGCGGATCACTTGAAGTCAGGAGTTTGAGACCAGCCTGGCCAACATGGTAAAACCCTATCTCTACTAAAAATAGAGGCAGAAGAATCTCTTGAACTCAGAAGGTGGAGGTTGCAGTGAGTTGAGATCATACCACTGCACTCCAGCCTGGGCGATAGAGCAAGACTCCATCTCAAAAAAAAAAAAAAAAACAAAACTGAAATAAATTCAACATGGATCAAAGACTAAAATGTAAAAAGTACATCAGTAAAGTACTACAAGACAAAGAGTTAATGCCTTTACAATCAGAGTAGGGAAGGATTCTGTAAGCATAACACAAACTTAGAGAAGACACAAAAGAAGTAATAAGATTGCATAATTAAAACCACCTTAAGGCAAAGCATATAATCACTACTAAAGAACAAGGCAAATAACACATGTCATACAATTTATAATTTATGACAGTTTTATGCAAATGAAAGGGGGAACCCATCACATTCTAAAAATAGGCAAAAAAGACAAAGAAAAATTGACAGATGAAATAAAAATGGTGAAAAACCATAGTAAAAGTTGTGCTTATTTTCTAGAAACTAAATAGAAATTAAAACAACAATGAGATTTTTTATTTTTTGGCCCAACAAAGACAAACAGGTTGGTGACCAGAACTAATGGGTAGGGGAAAACATGTATATTCTGTTGACAGGAGTGTAAACAAGGGACATTCTTCTTATAGAACCTGTCCATATCTATTGAAACTTGTATAATACGTTGGCTATTAAAATGGTTAGAAATTATGTCATTCCTTGAGAACTACTATCAATGTCCTTAAAAAAAAAAAAAAAAAGGAAGAAAGAAATTATGTCAAAGGAATATTTGCATAGATGAGTCAATTTCCAAAGATGTTCACTTACCGCAGTACTAATCAGGTGGTTATACACCTTTTGGGAGTTTTATCTAGCTTAATCAAGTTCCCTATCGACAACTTTTCCCTCTTCTAGAATTCATTCCTCCTACAGGGATGAAGGCCCAACAATGCTTATTTACCATGGAAATCTATCCCCTTCCTTCCGGCTGAATGGACTGCGCAAGACAGCTGATCTAAGCACTGCAGGAGTATACCCCGCATTCATTTGGAGATCTCTACTGGGAACTGGTTACTGGGAACCAGAACTAAGGTTCAGAGGCAACCATGCGGCTAAAACATCCAACTCAGAAGCTTTGGGGCAGGCATATCTATAAAAGCATGAAAAAGTAAAGAAAATCATTGGGGCTGAGGAGGAAGGAGTTAAGGACAGGGAGAAAGCAATAAATGAAGCAAAAATATGTAGAGAGGAACAGAACACTTCCTGAGTTGTTTTGTCGTTGCTTTTGAAACAGGGTATCATAGGCTGTGTGTGGTAGCTCACACTTGTAATCCCAATACTTTTGAGAGGCCAAGGCAGGCAGATTACTTGAGGTTAGGAGTTTGAGACCAGCCTGGACAACACGGTAAAACCCAATCTCTACTAAAAATACAAAAAAAAAAAATTAGCCAGGTATGGTGGCTGTGGCCCCAGCATTTGGGAGGCTGAGGCAGAATTGCTTGAACCTGGAGGCCTAGTTACAGTGAGTCGAGATCGTGCCACTGTACTCCAGCCTGGGGTGACAGAGTGAGACTCAAAAAAAAAGGAGGTATCACTCTGCCACCCAGGCTGGAGTGCAGTGGTACAAAAAATAGCTCACTACAGCCTCAACCTCCGGAGTAGCTGGAACTACAGGTACACACCACCACACCTGGCTAATTTTTTACTTTTAGTAGAGAAGTGGTCTCACCCAGCCTACATTGCCCAGGCTGGTCTTGAATCCTGAGCTCAAGTGATCCTCCCGCCACAGCCTCCCACAGTGCTGTGATATAGGCATGAAGCACCAGGCCCAGCCACTTCCCGGGTTCTTGATGGTTTACACTTCTTACTTCTAGTCCTTTCCTAAGACTCCTCCATATTCCTGGCCCTGTGTTCTGTGATGCCTCCCCTACCTCTTTATTTAAGCTAGTTTGTGTTATTTCTGCTACATATAATCAAAGAATATTAACTAATATATATCTGGCAATAAAGAGGAGAAAAGTTCCCTGGTGGTCTAGTGCCTAGGATTTGGCACTTTCACTGAAAGAAGGGAAAAAAAGATACCACCCTCCTTATCTACAAAAAGATGACTGGTTAAATAAATTATGATACATTCATTTAGTGGAGCATTTTACAGCCACTAAGGACAACACAGTAGACTGAATTACCAAGACACTACTAATGAAGAAAAAAATCAAGTTATAATTTGTATAAAGTTATCATCTGTAAACACTATGTTCTGGAGATTTTTTCTTTTTCTTTTCTTTCTTTCTTTTTTTTTCCAAGCATTTCTATATGTAAAGGAATGTAAAAATCCAGAATATATTAAATTATTCATAGGGTTATCTCTGGAGGCAGTGGGACCATTAGCTATACTTCTGTTGTCAATTTCTGTATCTGTCACTTTATAATCAGAAAAAAATAGATTAAATAAATCCATTACTGTATGCAAACAATCCCCATAAATGTGGTATTTTCTCTACAGATTTGTTGTTTATTTTTATATTAAAAGGACTAAAAAATAAATTTCCTTTAAAAAATTAAAATTTCAGGAGCCGATGCTCAGTTCTTCACTTGAAACAGTAGATACATCAAGTACACACATAGGGCACTAACCAAGCACGCGCATGCACACATACACACGCACAGCAGAAAATCTAGAAATAAACTATTTTAATTTCAACTGTCATGGAAGTTTTGTGTCATTTCCCCAAAAAACACAAATTTTATTTTATGATTTAGTCTTGTTTTTATTTAGAATTATTTAAGAAAAGGGGGAGCTGAGTGCAGTGGCTCACACCTGTAATCACACTTTGGGAGTGTGATTACACTCCCAATACTCTGGGAGGCCAGGGTGAGTGGATCACTTGAAGGCAGGAGTTCAAGACCAGCCTGGCCAACATGGCGAAACCCCATCTCTATTAAAAATACAAAACTTACCCGGGCATAGTGACATGTGCCTGAAGTCCCGGGAGCATAGCTTTGGCTGGGCACAGGGCACAGTGGTTCACCTGAGGTCAGGAGTTCAAGACCAGCCTGACCAATATGGTGAAACTCCATCACTACTAAAATACAAAAATTTGCCAGGCATGGTGGTTCCTACCTGCAGTCCCAGCTACAAGGAAGGCTGAGGCAGGAGGATTGCTTGAACCCGGGAAGCAGAGGTTGCAGTAAGCCAAGATCATGTCATTGCACTCCAGCCTAGGCAACAGAGAGAGAGACTGTCTCAAAAAAACAAAACAAAACAAAAACACATAGACTTTTTAACAGTGTAATTAAATCAGAGCATTCCTTATATTATTTGGGAGGATGGAAGAGATACTGGTTAACTTTACAGTGAGCAAAGATTGCACCACTGGATTCCAACTTGGGCAACAGAGCAAGACTCCACCTCAGTCAGAGTAAAAAGCAAAGAAAAGGCACAGAAAATAGGAAATAAAAAATAAAACAGGAAAAATTAGTCCAAGAATGATCGGAGTAACAATAAACATATTGAACTCAAAGACTGACAGACTGGAGTAAAAGCATACTGCTGCTTATAAGAGATACACCCAAAATAAAGTAACATATGTAAGGCTGAAAATAAACAGAAGACGTGTGAGACAAATAGCAAACAGCCATATTAACAAATAAAATAGAACTTAAGAAGAAAGCATTTATAGAGATGAAAATGGCATGTATGAGGGATATAATCTCATGATAAAGCAATCCAACAAGTAGATATAATAATCATACACCTCTATTTAGCTAATATAGCCTTTGGATAAAACAAAAATCAAAAGCATTTTAAAGAAAAGTTAACAAAACCAAAAATCATGAGATGTAAAAATATTTCAGTAACTAAATCACAAGGTTTAAAAGAAAAAATCAGTTAAGATACATAATTTGAATAACACAATAGGCAACTTTGACCTAACTGAAAAGCTTCTGAACCCTTGAAAAGAATAACTACTTTATTGCATATGTACAGAATATTTGCAAAAATTATCACATAGAACAATACGAAGACTTTACAATTCCTTTTTTTAATTTTTTTTCTTTTTTGATCTACCATCTCAGCTGTATACAATTCCAAAGAATAAGTAACAAATATTCCTTATTCTTTAACCATAATATTTAATAAATTTAGAAATCAACAGTTATAACTTTATTAAGTTAGAAGATGTTCCTTTTCTACTTTCTTAACTTTAAATGATTACAGTGGTCAAAAGAAATAGACTTACCTTGTGAGTGCTGAGGCTTCTGGTTTCATTGAGATCCAAAAACATGTCCAAGTCACATCCTAACTTCCCAAAAGTATTCACTGAGGAGCCAAAGGGTCTGACTATGCAGTCGGGAAAATAAGCAGCTGCTATGTCTTCAATAAGAGAACAGGTGAGATATCGAAGCTTAGTGTTCTCCTCTGTTAGCTGGAACTCCTTCAAGAGAGTGTTCAGCTGATCATCAATCTAGCTGGCCAAAACAAAACAACAAAAGATAGAAAACGTACAGGTCATATAAAAGAGTTACCATTTACTTCAAAAGATTTGGTGGCTTTGGAGACCTACCTTAGAAATATGCAAGGCCAGGCACGGTGGCTCACGCCCGTAATCCAAGCACTTTGGGAGGCCGATGGGGGCTGATCACTTGAGGTCGGGAGTTGGAGACCATCCTGACCAACATGGAGAAATCCCATCTCTACTAAAAATAGAAAATTAGCCAGGCGTGGTGGAGGGCACCTGTGATATCAGCTACTTGGAAGGCTGCAGCAGGAGAATCACTTGAACCCAGGAGGCAGTGGTTGCAGTGAGCTAAGATCATGCCATTGCACTCCAGCCTGGGCAATAAGAGCAAAACTTTGTCTCAAAAAAAAAAATGAAAAAAGAAATATGCAGTATTTTCTTGTTCAGTCTTAAAAGTGGATTTTAAAAAATACTCTTTAAAAAGCACTGAGGAGGCCTGAGCGCCTGGTGGCTCATGCCTGTAATCCCAGTACTTTGGGAGGCCTAGGCGGGAGAATCACATGAGGCCAGTAGTTTGAGACCAGCCTGAGCAACACAGTGAGACCTCATCTCTATTTCGTTAAAGAAATAAATTATATAATATTTAAAATTTTCAAAAACTCTGAGCAATGCCACTAGCAAAATAAAAGTGGGCTAGAATTAAAACTCTGTAAGCAATGAGTATAAAGTATTGTTTTAGGAAAACGAAAGTAGTAGCACACCCCAGAAGAGGTCAGAACAACCACACAGTAGACATTTTAAACCCAAGGGGATGAAAGACCAACGTTAAAGGGCAAGAAAAACTAGAAACACTTAAGTATTGAAGGCCCAGCACCTCTCAGTTTCTCAGAATAACAATCCTGTCTATTCACTAGAAGACTGGCATTAAAATGATACCATACTGAAACCGTGAAAAGTATCTGAAATGAAAAAAAAAAAACAAAAAACAAAAACATAGCTCCAAATGCCCTTATTTGAAACCAACACTGAAAATATCAACTGGCTAGGCACAGTGACTCATACCTGTAATCCCTTTGGAGGCCGAGGCGGGAAGATCACTTGAGCTCAGGAGTTTGAGACCAGCCTGGTCAACATAACAAAACCCTGGCTCTACTAAAAAGATACAAAAACTAGCTGGGCATGGTGGCATGCATATCTAGTCCCAGCTACTCAGGAGGCTGAGGTGGGAGGGTCACTTGAGTCCAGGAGTCTGAGGCTACGGTGAGCTGAGATTGCACCACTGCACTCCAGACTGGGTGAGAGAGCAAGACTCTGTCTCAAAAAAAAATAAAGTAACTGAACTAAGCATTCAACTCAAAAATAATAAAAGAGGCCAGGCTTGGTGGCTCACACGTGTAATCCCAGCACTTTGGGAGGCCAAGGAGGATGGATCATGTGAGGTCAGGAGTTCGAGACCAACCTGGCCAACATGATGAAACCCCATCTCTACTAAAAATACAAAAAATTAGCTGGGTGTGGTGGCTGGCGCCTATAATCCCTGCTCCTTGGGAGGCTGAGGCAGGAGAATCCCTTGAACCTGGGAGGCAGAGGTTGCAGTAAGCCGAGATCACGCCATTGCACTCCAGCCTGGGCAACAAGGGCGAAACTCTGTCTCCAAAAATAACAATAATAAAAGCAAGTATAGGAAATAAATTAGAAGCAAAAATTTTCTTATTAGAAAATTAAACCCTAAAAATAGTACTTTGATAAAAAGCCATAAGTTGATTCTCTGGAAAGACTAACAAGGTCTGGCAAGTCTGAATAAGAAACACCAAGACAAATACAAACAATATTTGAACAGAGAAAAGACACAGAATCTTGGGTCAGGCACATTGGTTCATGCCTATAATCCCAGCACTTTGGGAGGCTGAGGTGGGCAGATGACCTGAGGTCAGTAGTTCCAGATCAGCCTGGCCAAAATGGCGAAACCCCGTCTCTAGTAAAAATACAAAAATTAGCTGGGTGTGGTGGTGTACTCCTATAGTGCCAGCTACTTGGGAGGCTGAGACAGGAGAACTGCTTGAACCAAGGTGGTAGAGGCTGCAGTGAGCCAAGATTGTGCCACTGCACTCCAGCCTGGGCAACAAGAGTGAGATTCCATCTCAAAAAAAAAAAAAAGAGATAGAATCAGAAAGAAGACATTTCAAAATGGATAGAAAACCATGTACAATTTTATGTCATTATGCTGGAAAGAGAAAGAAAACCTAATTTGCTCAAAAAGCCCAAAAACTCCAAAGAATGTGGGAGTACAAATGGGGCATGGCGGGGAAGGAGTAGAGGATTACTATCACTTTTCATTCAACATATCCTGCAATTTGAATTTTTTAAAAGCAATCCCATTTATTTATAGAGATATTACAATTGTAATAAAAATATTAGCACAACAAATGTAATAATGTATTTTTTTAATATACCTTGACTAAGTAGGGTTTATTCTGTGAATGCAAGAATGACTCGACATGAGGAAATCTACAGTGAATATACAGTTCACTACATTAAGACATTAGGAGGGGGAAAAGAGACATTAGGAGAGAAACCATATATAATCTCAAGATGCTATGCCAGTCATCAAGATAATCTCAATCAGGTGCAGTGGCTCACACCTGTAATCCTAGCACTTTGGGAGGCTGAAGTGGATGGATCACGATGTCAAGAGATTGAGACCATCCTGCCTTACATGATGAAACCCCAACTCTACTAAAAAAATAGAAAAACTTAGCACCTCTAGTTCCAGCTACTTGGGAGGCTGAGGCTACAGTAAGTCAAGATCACGCCACTGCGCTCCAGCCTGGGTGACACAGCGAGACTCCGTCTCAAAAAAAAAAAAAAAGATAATCTCAAATGTCAAAACTCAACATCTGCTCAATGCTCAATGTGTTGAGCATGATGACATTATTTTGATTTTATTTATTTATTTTTTTTTGAGACGGAGTTTCGCTCTTGCTACCCAGGCTGGAGTGCAATGGCGCGATCTCGGCTCACCGCAACCTCCTGAGTAGCTGGGATTACAGGCATACGCCACCATGCCCAGCTAATTTTTTGTATTTTTAGTAGAGACAGGGTTTCACCATGTTGACCAGGATGGTGTTGATCTCTTGACCTCATGATCCACCCGCCTTGGTCTCCCAAAGTGCTGGGATTACAGGCTTGAGCCACCGTGCCTGGCCTCTTTTTATTTTTTTTTATTTATGTATTTATTTATCTATTTTAAGACAGAGTTTTGCCCTTCTTGCCCAGGCTGGAGTGCAGTGCTAGCTCGGCTCACAGCAACCTCCGCCTCCTGGGTCAAGCAATTCTCCCACCTCAGCCTCCTGAGTAGTTAGGATTACAGGCATGCATCACTACCCCTGACTAGTTTTGTATTTCTAGTAGAGACGGGGTTTCTCCATGTTGATCAGGCTGATCTCAGACTCCCAATCTCAGGTTATCTGCCCTCAGCCTCTCAAAGTGCTGGGATTACAGGTGTGAGCCCCTGTGCCCAGCCTTGATGACATTCTTAAAAAGCTAGAAATAGAAAAAAACTTTCCTTCATCACATTATGCATCCATCCCCACCATCCATCTCCGTAACTCTTTTTACCTTTTAAAACTGAAGATCTATCTCCGTTAAGCAGTAATGTAGCTTAAATATTTTACAGGAATCTTTATCATACATTAAAAAAATACGTATTTCTAAAAGTTGAAGTATACCTAAAAACTTACATTTTCTGCATCACAAAGTACTTCAAAAAGCTTCTTGCTTGAAGGTGGCAACTGATTACTCATCTGCACACGTGACCGTTCAGATGTCTGGTTTTTCAACTTCAGATTGAAGAAACGTGATCTGAATGGAATTGCCACCTCCATGCCCTTGCTTGGAGCGTGAGTCTCATTCTGCAGTGAACGTACACTTTCCTTCTGGCAAAATTCTACGACAGCATAGAGACCCTATACCAAAAATATATGAAAAAACTGAACACATTTCACAAAATATCTAACATATTTTAGCTCATATTTTAAAACAATTATCATGCTACAAAATATCAAGCTTTTAAAATTTACAAATGATATGATCCTACCACAGCATTATTTTTACCCATTTTAAGTAGATTAAGGAGGAACACTGGGCTGGGCGAGGTGGCTCACGCCTGTAAGCCCAGCACTTTGGGAGGCCGAAGTGGACAGGTCACCTGAGGTCAGGAGTTCAAGACCAGCCTGGCCAACATGGTAAAACTTCATCTCTACTAAAAATACAAAAATTAGCCAGGCATGGTGGTGGGTGTCTGTAATTCCAGCTATTTGGGAAGCTGAGGCAGGAGAACTGCTTGAACCTGGGAGACGGAGGTTGCAGTGAGCCAAGATCACACCTCTGCACTGTAGCCTGGGTGACAGAGTGAGACTCTGTCTCAAAAAAAAAAAGAAAAAAAAGAAAATGAACACTGGAAAACGATGTTAGACAAGAAAAGTTGAAAAGAATGCTGAAGCAGAAAAATAAAAAGTCCAAAGGCAAAACAAAGATCCCCTCCCACTGGCCTTCATATCCATAAAAGGGACTATCTAAAGTATTTAAGCTGGGTGTAGCGGTGCAGGACTCTAGTCCCGGCTACTCCAGGGGCTGGAGGATCACCTGAGCCTAGAAGTCGAGGTACACTACAGTGCACTATTATGGTACCTGCGAATGGTCACTGCACTCCAACATGGGCAACATAGTGGACCCTGTCTCTTAAAAAATAAAATTAAGCATTCAAATAATGAAATCAGTCATAAATAACTTATAATCCTAAAATACTGCTCTAAGAATTTCCATTCTCATATCAAAAACAAAACTCATTAAAGAAATCTAGATAAGGAAGACGCCTATAGCCAAGAAAACCTAACTACCAAACTGCAAAAGGCGAAAGAAAAAACAACTAATGGAGACCGCTACCCCTGAAAAGCATAAACATTAAGTTAGACTGTTTTTCAAATACTTACAAAGCTTTCATAGAAGAAATGATTATTAATAGATCCATGTTGGGATAAATATTTAAGAAACTTTTTTTCACTGATTTTCTCTGGGCAGTGTATTAAAACAGTCCGTTGTGCCTGTTCTCGTCTTTCATTTTGCATCTCAGAGAATCTCTTTTTGGGAATCTTGTCTTCAAAGCCTGTGAATGAGACAAAAACATTTCCACCACACAGACAAAATTTTAAAAATATTTTGATAAGGTGTTCAAAGACTTTATACATGACTAAAAACAACTTTACCTAATCTATTATTTTCTTCTCTACCTTTGTAAGTGTTAAACTATACTGCAGGAGTCCCCCCATGACCCACAGGGGTTATGTTCCAAGAGGCCCGCAAATGCCTAAAAACCTCAGATACTACCAAGCCCTGTATATACAATGTTTCATTTTACATATAGAAGCTATGATGAGGTTTAATTTATAAATTAGGCAAATTAAGAGATTACTAACAATGGTCTGGGCCTGTAATCCCAGCACTTTGGGAGGCTGAGGTGGGTAGAATACTCGAGGTCAGGAGTTCGAGACCAGCCTGGCCAACACGTTGAAACCTCATCTGTACTAAAAATTAAAAAATTAGCCAGACATGCTGCCATGCGCCTGTAGTCCCAGCTACTCAGGAGGCTGAGATAGGAGAATCACTTGAAACCAGGAGGCAGACTTGCAGTGAGCCAAGATTGCGCCACTGTACTCCGGCCTGGGTGACAGAGCGAGACTCCATCTCAAAATACAAAAGCAAAAAAAAAAACCTTAACAAAATTCTGAAGAAATAGAACAGAAAATGTAAATGATATATAGAAATCAGCAGAAACTTTTAGCCTCATTTTCTTCCAAAAGGCTACAAAGCTGATGGATCAAGGAAATACTCCATACCCACTATTTTACCTTTTTTTTTTTTTTTTTAATTTAAGAGACAAGGTATCCCTCTGCTACCCAGGCTAGAGTGTGGTGGCACAATCCCAGGTCACTGCAATCTCTACCTCCAGGTTTAAGTGACTGGCATGCTTCAACCTCCCCAGTAGCAGGGATTACAGGCATATGCCACTCCTGTCCAGGTAATTTTTATATGTTTTGTAGAGACAGGGTTTTACCATGTTGGTCAGGCTGGTCTCGAACTCCTGACCTCAAGGAATCTTCCCTTCTTGGCCTCGCAAAGTGCCGGAATTACAAGCATGAAGCCACCGTGCCCAGCCTGAAAATACAGCTTTTAACTATGTGCCTTCGCCTCCATTCCCAATGACAATTATTTAACATTAATCTCTTATTTCAGGCCTCTATCACAATAATCTGACTCCTAAACTAGTCTCATTCACTCTACAATGACAATTCTTTAACATCAATCTCTTATTTCAGGCCTCTATCACAATAATCTGACTCCTAAACTAGTCTCATTCACTCTAGTTTTGTTTTTCTCAAGCTGTCCTTTGGCAATTATGTCGTCCACATAATTGCCAAAATGTTCTTTATAATGTGGTCTTTTTGGCAGGGCACAGTGGCTCACACCTGTAATCCCGGCACTTTGGGAGGCAGAGGTAGGTTGATCACAAGGTCAGGAGATCAAGATCATCAGAGCCAACATGGTGAAACCCCGTCTCTACTAAAAATACAAAAAAATTGGCAGTGCATGCCTATAGTCCCAGCTACTCGGGAGGCTGAGGCAGGAGAATTGCTTGAACCCAGGAGGTGGAGGCTGCAGTGAGCAGAGATGGCGCCACTACACTGCAGGCTGGGCGACAGTGCAAGCCTCCATCTCAAAAAAAAAAAAAAAAAAAAAAAAAAAAGTCTTTTGTTTTTAAGGCTTACTCTTTGACTTCCCTGCTTAAATCCTTTAATAGCTTCCCCAGTGCCTTTAAGGTCATATCTAAACTCCAGAGCCTGGGTATAAAGTGCTTGCACCATGTCCCAACCCCCTCTTTCATGTCACTTATACCATTTCTTTGTTGTATTTTTCACATATGCTTCTCTACACACACTATGAACTACTTATGCCTTCTTCCTTCTGGTTGGAATCCCCACCTTCTCATTTTCTGTCTGGCAAACTCTCATTCATCCTCCAAATCTTGCTTAGGTCTGTGAAAACTTCTGACTCTTCATGATAGAATCTTTTCCACCTCTTTATTACCTAATTTCAACAACTATGAAAGAATGTAATTCATAGCATTATATTTATTTATTTAACAATATGGACGAATACCACCTTCTTCTTTCTTCTTTCTCTCCTCCTCCTCCTCTTCTTTCCTTTTCTTCTTTCTTCTCTTTCTTTCTTCTTTCTTTTCTTCCTTCTTTCTTTCTTCTTCTTCTTCTTCGACAAGGTCTCCCTCTGTCATCCAGGCTGGAGTGCAGCTGCACAATCCCAGCTCGCTCCAATCTCTGCCTCCCAGGTTATGGCAATATGGAAGAAGAACCTTCTTCCATATTACGGACAGAGACTTTTCCGTTTGATCTCAGTCTACCGACTGTCCTTCCGCCAAGTGGTCCTTATTTCCTTCTCTTATGCTACAGGCTCTGCCTAGACCATCTTACCATTTTTTCAGTTGTGACTGCCACCTACACCTCTTGTCTCTGACTTTTACTGAGTCTAAACTGATATCCAACTGCTTGTTACAAAATAAAAGTCAAACAGTGTAGAATTTTCTTTTTTCTTTTTCTTTTTAATTTTTGAGACAGTCTCGCTCTGTCGCCCAGGCTGGATTGCAGTAGTGTGATCTTGGCTCACCACAATCTCTGCCTCCGGGGTTCAAGTGATTCTCCTGCCTCAGCCTCCCAAGTAGCTGGGATTACAGGCACATGCCACTGTGCCAGGCTAAGTTTTATATTTTTAGTAGAGATGGGGTCTCACCATGTTGGCCAGGCTGGTCTTGAACTCCTGACCTCAGGTGATCTACCTGCCTTGGCCTCCCAAAGTGCTGGGATTACAAGCGTGAGCCATGGCACCTGGCCCGAACAGTGTAGAATTTTCTAAAGTAGAAGCACAAGTTTTCCCCCAGTCCTCTTACCCTAACAGCCAACCATTAAGTTGTGGTACTTATCTTTTCAGACATTTTCAAGGCATATGTAAACATATACATATAGATAAACATCTTTTACACAACTGAAATTTACTGAAATCTTACTATGTATTCTATTCTCTAACATGCTGTAAGATATTTAATGCACTGGAGACATCTTTCCATACCAGTACATACATATTTATTTCTTTTAAAATATATACTCTTAAATACATCATAGTTTAGCCAAATCTCTATTGATAAATATTTAGGTGGTTTACCACTTTTCACCATTACAAACAATATTGCAATGTTATCTGTATGCAATGTCTCTGCACATTTATGCAAATATATCCCTGCAGGTGGATGGCAGGCAAAGAGCAGGGATTACATTTGAGAACGAGATAGAAAAGTTTGATTGAAAAGATGGAACAATTTGCTTGAGAAGATGAAAAAGGCAGAATCTAAAGACTTGAGCAACAGTAGGTAAAGAATGATATAGACACAAAGACGAAGTTGTGAAGGCGGGAACAAAACGCTGAGGTAATTTACAGCCTCACCAAAGGTTTATCAAACCTATGAATAACAAATGAAGAGGAAAAACTAGTAAGTGCTAATATTTTGTGACAGACTGAAATGTGCAATGGTCTTAAAATACAATATGATAAACACAAATTAACGTTAAAAAATGATTGAACAGGCCGGCGTGGTGGCTCATGCCAGTAATGCCAGCACTCTGGGAGGCAGAGGAGGGTGGATCGCTTGAGGTTAGGAGTTTGAGACCAGCCTGGCCAACACGGTGAAACCCCGCCTCTATTAAAAATACAAAAAATTAGCCAGGTGTGGTAACACGCACCTATAATCCCAACTACTCAGGAGGCTGAGGCAGGAGAATCGCTTGAATCTGGGAGGCGGAGGTTGCACTTAGCCAAGATCTCACCACTGCACTCCAGCCTGGGCAGCAGAGACACTCTCTCTCAAAACAAACAAATAAATAAATAAAATTAAAAGACTGAATACTATCTTTCATTTAGAATTAAAAACAAAATAAAGATGCATGCACATGATGGGGGAAAAATTAACCTAGCACAGTTTTATAAAAGAGGCCTGAACTGTTTTGCTATGAATACATTTAGAGGGTAAAAAAGAAAAAAAGAAATAAAGAAAAAGAAAAATGGAAAATAAAAGAGGCCCTAAAGTTTGACTGGATGCAACTCGAAATGCATCAAAGGAATGTCTTAACTTGTGGACTGAGGATAGGAAGAGACTGAATACATACACAAAAATTCAAGCCTTTTTAAGACAGATGTTCTTAAAAATCCAAATTTAAGGGGTAATAGCACTTCTTTGCTACTTACTAATCAGGCCACATAGAGAGTATATGTTCTGCTCTGGATGTAACAGTTATGAAGGATATTAATGAGCCAGAGAGTGTCCAGAGAGGAATAACAGAAAGTCTAGAAACTCTAATATACAATTAAATCATTACAGAAAAAGAGGGAATTTACAGCCTGAAAAAAAAATAAAATAAAATAAAATGACAAACTAATGAGAATCTGAGAGCTGAGCACTGTCCTTAAATATTGCACCTTCTCTTAATAGCTTTCCAAGCACTGTCACATACACACACTTCTGAATTTCACAATACCTTTTAAGATAGATAGTGTAGTTCTACCTTTAAAGATGGCCCTACCTTGGCTGCTGGCACCCAAACAGCAGCTAAACCTTGTTCAGGTAATAGTTCAGGTAATACTAGCACACTCTTTGTTCTGTTAACAGCACACCCCTGCTGGTAAAAAACCACTCTATGTGGTTGTGATGAAACTGTCACAATTACTCCCACCCCATGAGATAGGGATTATCAGACTATTCTGGATACCTCCTCTTCATCCAAAGGGTTGGCACGATCAATCAGAAGCCCAAACATGTGATCATCAAGCTGCTGGTGACCATCACCCCCACCATCATCATCCCATGTAGAAAAGTCTGAGATTATAAGGCGGCTAAACAATAGCTAAGGAAAATGACAATCTCTCACACTGACCAGTCAATCCAACTGACCTTAAAGTATGAGATATGTCTCTTTCTGGAGTTTGGTTACATAGATTGGTATAGTCTCCCTTTTCTACTTAAACTATTTTGAGTTAGTTTCTGTTAGCCATATCAGAAAGAATCCTGAATAATACAGTACACACTCTTGTTACAGCTCTTTCCACTACTCACATGAAAGCTATGTCAAAACTAAGACCAATGAGGAAATGGGAAGTTAGCAGATTTTAACTCACTGTAAATATTTTTCAACCATTAGAACCTGACCAAAAACAGAATTGACTGACTTATGAAACAATGTTCCTTATTGTTATGAACTGTTACTAGGAATGTTTTGGTAATGAATCCTCACTCACACTGAAAGAAAAACTGAATTGGATATTTCTCAAGTTCCTTCCAATTATAAAATTACACGCTTCTAGGTGAGTATAAGGTGTAGTTATCTGTTCTTTTTTTACAATGGTAAAGACATCCAAATGAAAATTTTGTTATGTCCCACAAGAATCCCTGAATATTCGGCCATGTTTCCCTAATGATATAAAATGAAACATTTCCTTAAAAAAGAAAAATATCAAAGCTACAGTAAATGAAGATTATAGCCCTGGAATTCGACGTGGGTTTTATTGGCCGTGGGTGCAGTGGGCCGAGATTGTGCCATTGCACCTCAGCCTGGGCGACAGAGCACGACTCCGTCCCGAGAAAAAGAGAAGTGAGTTTTACTCTTTTTGCCACTGAATACTTGAGTTTAGCTTGAACTACTCAAACTACCCTTGGACTACCCTGTTTCTGAATCTATAAGATGGAGTAATAGTATTTCCTTCCACACCTATGCCGCAGGGTTGTTTCATGTCTCAATGGGCATATGAACACACTCTCAAATTTAAACTCTTATACAAACGTTAAATTACCATCGCTTTTTTCTGGGCAGAATCCTTAAATTTTCAGTGTTACTTCGAAATTTTCAACAGATGCAGCTTCCACTAAATACAATTCAATCAATATTTCAATAAAATATTATATAAAGTAAGATTTCTCACTGCGTGTCAATATGTCTTTTATACAATCTGATGGAGACAGCTGCTTACTTTAGGGAAAAATAGCTCCAAGGAATCATAGAAATCAATACATTTTGTTTGATAATTTGACTAAACGTCTAAATTAATTGAGCTAGTGACGTTGCCCAAGTTATTTAGCTCTTTAAGCCTTTTTCTACATCTGTAAAATGGACACAGTGATACATTTCTTGCAATATTGTTTTAAGAACTGTAAATACCATATATAAGCTCTTGAGTCACAAAAGCGGTAACAGTGGCGTCTCAACAAACAAGGAAGCGTATAAATGTAGAACGAACGCGGGACAATAGCCTGTGGCAGTGAATGCAAATCTATTACCAGACTGATTTGGTTCAAAATGGCCAAAAAGAATAAAGTAAACGGCAGTAAATTTCACAGGCAAAACCCTACGTCTAGGAACCAAGAATCCTCGTCATTCATCAGGCTACACTATACTCGGCCTCCAGCAACAACTTAATGTATCAAAATCAGAAATATACGTAAATGATGAAGCGACTGGCTCAGGTGTGTAGCTTCACTATCTTTGGGAACACTGTTTCGTCAAACTGTAAAGTGCTAGCAAGCTGGGGTCCCGGAAGTCTAAACAATTCCATTACTGTACACAGAAGTCGCCCCCGAAGAAACGTCACACATCTCACTTCTGCCTCGGCAACGGCGGCGACCCTGGGTTCCCCTAGTAAGATCAGAGGAGAGGACAGGACACAGTCCCAGCCTCTTACCAAAGGGCCCAAGACCGTTTCCACAGACCACGCGTTCGCCCGGGATCCCAGACTCTTCCCCCTTCCCTCGTCCGCTGTGGGACTGGGCTACAGAGCAAACCGAGACCACGGCGCCATCACCTGTCTCCTTGCTCCCCGAAGGCTGCTCGTCTCTCCTGAGGTCTTCGGCCACAGTTCCCGGGCAACTCAAAAGCCTGAGGACAGGCCGCTGGACCCGAGTTCTTCTCTGGGCATATAGGTGCAAACGGGTTAGGAGACCCACTCCGGGAACCGCCATTGTTAAAAAAAAAAAAAAAAAAAAAAAAGCACAAGCGCCCAGATGAAAGGTCAGCGCATTTCCGCGCATGCGCCCGGGGGCAGAAGAAATGGAAAGCCTCGAGGGTCAAACTAGGCGAAAGAAGTTCGCTTTTAGAAGAAGAAATTGAGACCAAAATGGCCGAGCTTTCAGACACGGTTTACGTCCACAGTCATACAGTTTTCCAAATGAAAATCTTCATACAAGGAGCGCTCCACCTACTCTTGCAAATAGCGTCATGAAAATAGAGCCAGAGCCCAGGCGCAGTGGCTCACGCCTGTAATCCCACCACTTTGGGAGGTCGAGGCAGGTGAATCACCTGAAGTCGGGCGTCCGAGACCAGCCTGGCCAACATGGGGAAACCTTGTCTCTACTAAAAAATACAAAAAATTAGCTGGACGTGGTGACACACACCTGTAATTCCAACTACGCGGCGGGCTGAGGCACGAGAATCACTTGAACCCGGGAGGTGGAGGCTGCAGTGAGCCGACATGGAGCCACTGCGCTCCAGCCTGGACAGCAGACAGAACATGACCTTGTCTCTAAAAAAATAAAAGTTGAAATAATGGAAAGGCCTTTAACCTCTGAAAGGGGCACCAGGAGCAGGGAGGGCACCATCTTCTTCCTTGAACCATGTGAGGACATTTTACAACCTCTGCCAAGATGCCTCGATTCAAATTAAAGTGGTTTTGCCAGCCCCTCCTCCAAGTGAGAAGTGCATACTTCATCTCGAAGCCATAGGAAAGGCATTAGAAAGGACTGGTTCAGTCTTCTCATTTTGGACATGGGAAAGTGGGGCACAGATCAGACAGGGACTGGCCACAGGACACACCTGCGGAGTCACAGCTTAAAGTCAGAGCTCTGCCCTTGATCCAAAGCTCTTTCTCAGTTCCTGTATCGTAACCGGTGGTCCTTGCTCTGGTGCCTGGGAAAGGGACATACGGAACAGCGCAAAGAAACCTGCAACTGAAGGCAGCCCCCCAGGGAACACACTGCTCCTCCCATCTGCCCCCTCCTCGCCTTGACCCAGCACTTTTCTGCCTCACCCATCTGGTCCTTTCTGGACTGGAGGCTCAAGGTGGTACAACCACCAACTCTGTGTGTGCTGTGTGTGTGTGTGTGTGTGTGTGTCCCAAAGGAACAGAGCACTGCCGAGTTCAGGCTGATCATTAGCTCGTGGACTGTCAGCAAAATACATTCACAAGAGGGCTATGGGGCCGGGTGCGGTGGCACAGGCCTGTAATCCCAGCACTTTGGGAGGTCGAGGCGGGCGGATCACGAGGTCAAGATATCGAGACCATCCTGGTCAATATGGTGAAACCCTGTCTCTGCTAAAAATACAAAAAATTAGCTGGGCATGGTGGCGGGTGCCTGTAATCCCAGCTACTCAGGAGGCTGAGGCAGGAGAATTGCCTGAACCCAGGAGGCGGAGGTTGCAGTGAGCCGAGATCGCACCATTGCACTCCAGCCTGGGTAAGGAACAAAACTTCATCTCAAAAAAAAAAAAAGAAAGAAAGAAAGCTATGTGCTGTTTTGTCTTTTGCAGTGATGTCATGTTGCTCATGGTTTTTTTGTTTTGTTTTGTTCTGTTTTTTTAATGAAAGAAAGAGAAAGAGAAAAGGGGGAGAGAGAACAGGAGTCTTGCTCTATTGCCCAGGCTGGAATGCAATCTAAAAGTAGGTATCAAAACCTCTTTTATGCCGATAATTGTGTTTAACAGCAGAGACAGAAAGGAATACAGGAAGAAAATAACAAGCAAACAAACAACCAATATTTCATTTAAGTCTGTGAAATGCTATGCAAATGCTGAAGAGTGATTTACTTCCAATTATGTGGTCACTTTCAAAATAGGTGTGATGTGATACTGAGAAAAATGTATGTTCTGTGGACCTGGGGGGAAGAATTCTATAAATATTTACTGAGTTTACTTATTCCACGTCTGAGTTCAAATCATAAATGTCCCTGTTAATTTTCTATCTCGTTGATCTGTCAAATATTAACAATGTGGTGTCAAAGACTCCCACTATTATTGTGCGGTGGTCCAAGTCTCTTTATAAGTTATTGAAAACTTGTCTTATGTATCTGGGTACTCCTATATTGGGTGCGTATATATTTATGATCATTGACTCCTATTGTTGCGTTGATCCTTTTATCATTATGTAATGTCCTTCTTTAATGACAAAATGTTGCTCATGTTTTATGTTTTTCAGAGTTCATTAGTTTCTATTTGTTGTCAGTTAATATCCAGCTCAATAGATTGAATAAGTAGAATACCCTCAAACTGAAAGTCACATACATAAAATATAGTGAAAAATATGCCACCCACTTAACCTAGAGTTGAAAATATGTACATATTAATTTTGTGTAGTCAATACTGGACAATGGGTAAGTGCACAGGATCCCAGAGCTAGACTGCCTGGGTTCAAGTTCCTACTTAACCACTTGCTGGCTGTGAACTACTTGACAGCTTTAAGCCTCAGTTTCTTTTTTTTTTTTTTAACTTAATCCCAAATGTGATAGTAAGTCTCAGTTTCTTGATCTGAAAAACAGATGTTACTCAGTGAGAGTCTGTGAAAACTTTAAAGTACACTGCCTGGCTCAGGAAAGTCCTCAGCTTTAGCCACTATTAGCTATGATTATTATTGTGCTGGCTACACATGCATTAAAAAAATGAGGCAAGAAAATGCTCAAGGATAACAACCAAGTACCCAAATTATCTCATCAGACCGAGAGAGATGCCAGTGTGTGTATGCTCATGTTTCAGCTCAAAGCCCTTTTCTAGAAGGCTCTTAAACTCAGAGGCCCTGGCAATATCAAATTTACTTTGCAGTGGAGCCATTACTTTTGTTGATCAATGCAATTGACATAATGCTCTCTTTTTTTTTAAGCACCAACCACGTGCCTAGAGTGATCTGTGTCAAGAAGAGCATGCTTCAGATGGCTGGAGTGAGCAATTCAACTTGTGAAGAATGAGAAATGATAGTGTTGAGACAAGAAGCATAAAATCCCAGGGGAAGGTAGGAATCACTGAGAGTCAGGCAAAAGAACTGGTGTCCAGTAATGAGTCAGGCTTTGTCAGCCTCTGGCCCTACAGATGACTCTTTGGAGAGGAAAAAATTCAGCCAGGCCTAAGGCCACAGATCCTAAGGGACTGCTGGCAGCTCTAGGAAGAGAAGCAGAGGGTGGCACCTGGTTGAAAGAGGGGGCTGGGGGACATGGCTTGAGCCTGTGTTTACATATGGAGTCCCCTGATCCTTGAGACTGAGACTGCGGAAGGAGATCATGCCTGGATCAGGGGACCTCAAACCAGAACTCTTCCCACCCACACCTTCTACTTTTTTAGGCATCTTTGACTGCAAACAACAGACAAATTAGTTGGAAAGGTCAACAGATTCTCACAATGGTGCCTAGAGGCCAGGCCTAGCTGCCTTTTAACCTCTGACTGGAGATGATGCCAATGGCCCATAAGTACACATTGGAAAATCTTTACATTCATAGACATGCCATGCCCCAGAGACAGCTGTGCAGGGTCTTTATGTTTGGGGTGCTGTGCTGGCAGGTGGCTTATAAATATGTAGAATTGGCCGGGCGTGGTGGCTCACGCCTATAATCCCAGCACTTTGGGAGGCTGAGGCGGGTGGATCACAAGGTCAAGAGATCAAGACTATCCTGGTCAACATGGTGAAACCCCGCCTCTACTAAAAATACAAAAGTTAGCTGGGCATGGTGGCGCACGCCTGTAGTCCAAGCTACTCAGGAGGCTGAGGCAGAAGAATTGCCTGAACCCAGGAGGCAAAGATTGCGGTGAGCCAAGATCGCACCATTGCACTCCAGCCTGGGTAACAAGAGCGAAACTCCAACTCAAAAAAAAATAATAATAAAATAAAATAAAATATATATATATATATATGTGTGTGTGTGTGTGTGTGTGTGTGTGTGTAATATTAAGTGAAAAAAACAAATTCCAGAAGGATGTATACAGCATATCTTATATAACTTGGAAAACAGCTGAAAAGAAAATGTATATATAGGCCGGGCATGGTAGCTCATTCCTGTAATCCCAGCACTTTGGTAGGCCAAGGCAGGAGGATTGCTTGAGGCCAGAAGTTCAAGACCAGCCTGGGCAACAGAGCAAAACCTGTCTCTACAAAAACTAGAAAAATTAGCCAGGTGTGGTGGTGCAGGTTTGCAGTCTCAGCTACTCATGAGGCTGAGCGGGGAGGATCTCTTGAGTTGGGGAGTTCAAGGTTACAGGTGGCCATGACTGCACCACTGCACTCCAGCCTGGGCAACAGAGTGAGACCCTGTTTCAAAAAAAAAAAAAAAAACTGTATCAAAAGGATCTCTAGGGAAAATAGAGACATCCGTACACACATTTCATAGCAGCATTATTCACAATAGCCAAAAGGCACATGTTACAGCTTGGGCAAACCTTGAAGATATTATGCTAAGTGAAATAAACCAGGCACGAAAAGACAAACACTGTATGATTCCGCTTGTAGGGGCTATTTTGAGTAGTCAAACTCAGAAATAGAAAGTAAAATGGTGGTTGCCAGCATCTTGGAAGGAGGGGAAAACAGGGAGTTATAGATGGGTGTAGAGTTTCAGTTTTGCAAGATGGAGAGAGTTCTTGGAGACGGGGCACAGCAGCGTGAATATACTCAGCAGTACTGAACTGCACCCTCAACAATGGTAGTGATGGGAAATTTCACGTCATGTTATTTTATCACAAATTTGAAAAGAAAAAAGGAAAATCCCAGCACTTTGGGAGGCCGAGGCAGGTGGATCACGAGGTCAAGAGATCGAGACCATCCTGGTCAACATGGTGAAACCCCGTCTCTACTAAAAATACAAAAAATTAGCTGGGCATGGTGGCACATGCCTGTAATCTCAGCTACTCGGGAGGCTGAGGCAGGAGAATTGCCCGAACCCAGGAGGCAGAGGTTGCGGTGAGCCGAGATCGCGCCATTGCACTCCAGCCTGGGTAACAAGAGCAAAACTCCGTCTAAAAAA